AAGAATTTCTCTGTCTAATTTGGCTAGCCTTGACATGTAGCCTTTTGACGCCAAACAAAAAAGATATGGGAATCATTTTCTCCTCCTGATTATAAGTTGATAAGCCTTATTTAATCAAATTTTTTCCCTTAATATCTGTGATCCACCACTTGAGAATTACTGGTTTATAAAATATATTAATGTTATCAGCTACTTTGTATTATTGACATGTTTTAAGTGCATTTGATAGACTTCTCTTTTACATAAAATCTGTCATTTACTCACCCTCACATTCCTCCAAACCTGTATGACTTATTCTTTCTCACGTGGAACATAGATATTTTGAGAAATACCTAAGAAAAGTGTTTTTGTCCATACAGTGGAAGCCAAGGGGCTCCAAAGCTCTCAACATTCCCAAATATCTTCACTAAGAAAAGTCATACAGATTTGGAACCACATGAGGGTGAGCAAATAAGGCCAGAATCTTTATTTTTGGTCAATGACATCAAGATTTCTCTAGAGTTGTTCCTTATAATTGCGTACATGTCTGTTTATTCAAGACCATTGTAATTGTGACCACTGTTCAAAATGATGTTTTGTCCTGTTGATCTCCTCTTCCAGGTCATTGGCCTGAAGGCCTAATCCCTAAATCTGAGCCTGAGAGCATGTCTTCTAAACTTGAACCTGATGTTGACGAGAGTCTGAATCCAGATGATGTGGCTGGTTCTGAGCCTCCAAACTGGGCCGTAGGACCAGATGAAGTTATGACCCTGGGCTTGTCAGGAGAATACCTCTATGCAGTGAAGACAGAACCACCATCCCTATGCACTCCCAACAGTACAGAAAGTACAAGAGATGCCATTGACTGCAGCCACAATGATTTCCCAGGTGACATACTGGTTCAGTTCTATGAACAAACTAAAGCACCTCAGGAGTCACAGATCTTCTTGTTTTGTCCCAGCAGGAACTTCTGAAGAGACTAGCAGCCTCATCCTCCAGCAGCTAACCATCCTGAACCACCGGCTTGGAGAACAGCTGGCCGAGCAGAGAGCCTTCCACTGCAGCATGCTAGGAATGATGGATCGCCAGATCCAGGTCCTGGAGCAGCTCTCCAATTTCACAAGGAACCACCAACCCAAGCTTGAGACCCCGGGCACGGACTCTTCAGTTAGTCCGAACGTGCATGAAGCTCAAACACAGACTCTTGAGCCATATCCCACGTTCCTCATGCCTAAAAGCGAACCAACAGCTGCTCCTTGGAAGGTCTCTCTCTTAGAAGTCCACAAGAGGTCACCTTCTGAGTTGGGCAGTGACACTGAGACTCCTCAAACCTTGGAGGGTTGCAACGAAAACACCTCTAGCCCACCTTCTTTAGAGATTTTACCCTCAACCAAGAACGTAATTGTGCAGAATGGATTGTGTAAGCACGATTGAGTGCTGTTTATTTGGGACGTTATGCATTCAGTAGGAACTACTAAAGTCTTTTGTCCTGTAGATGTTTCAGGAGCTTGATCTGATCTGAAACATCATTAACATATGCATTTTTCAGTTTCATAGGAAAGTATTCAGTGCTCTGATGTTTTAATCAGTAACACTTTTGAGAGATAGAACAATAGACTTATTATTTATTTACTTTGGTTTGATTGCGAACTAACACTCGATGCGAATCTTAGACGGTAAGTAACTCAGCAGTGACTGTTTCAAAATTGCAGTTTGGACCAAGGTAGCTTTATGTCTGTAATCATCTTGCATTATCTAAGAGAAAGAAGTGGGTTATTGGTAAGCTTAAAGTTGTGTAAAACTATCAGTTTCTTCCTGTTAGGTTTGGAACACACTTTAAGGCTGATTTTAACACAAGAAGGTGTATTACCATGAATTTCATCATCTAATTTGAACTCCTGTGGTTAAGTATGAACTTCACTGTTCATTTCAACTGCTTGACTCTTAATATAAAGTAATAGTTCACTTATATGTTTTGTTATATTTTTGACATGCGAAATGGATCAGGGTTGGGTTACTTGTAACACCACTAATTCGATTAATCTTACTAGTGTTAATACAGGGTACTACGAAATTACTTTTACATTAAACTATGGGTACTGTGTCAAAAGTGTGTGGGTAAAAACACTCGAATGGAAGGGGAAAATGTCAGCAAGTCCTACTTAAGTTGTATTGAAATTGTTAGACAAGTTCCTATGCTCACCAAGGCTGTATTTATTTGATTAAAAATAAACGGTAATATTGTAACATATTATTACAATAACCTCTAATATGAGGAAGAATAAATGAACTTTACAGTCGTTTGGATCAGCGAGGAAATGAGATGAAGTAGTTATTCTCCATAGCAGCAGGTGGCAGTATTGGCTGTAAGTAGCAGTCCTATACAGTAGAACTGAAGGCGGATTTTGTGTATCTGGTTCTTCATAAATGTATTTTTATTACGTGACTGAAGATAAGTGCAAGGAGTAAGTAATTTAAATGTGTGTTTATGCTAATACCATATCATATTTAACATCAACAGACTGAGCACGTTAGCAGCTCTATCGCTGAAGGTGCAGTAACATTAGCTGAGCAGCTGTCTTCACATAAACCACATTATGTACATGTATGTATACTTTTATGGTTTGTAATCTTATCACATACATATTTTACATATAAAGCCCCGATGGCAAGAAGACTTATCGCGGTACGCTTACAGACATAAACTGATTTAATGCACATCAACAGCACATATTCAAAAGACAAAATATTATACAGCTTCTGTAAAGTTCTCATATGTTTACGAAACTAAAATACTTTTCCAGTTCATACTGTGAAAATGTAATATGATAAAGATAACATTATTTGGCAACCATTTCGTTTCGGTTACGTTACATTTACGTTTTTTTGTTATAACGTTACTCACTAGATGTATTTATTTATTAAAGTACATTTCAGAGATTTGTCAATTTAATTAATTCATCAATTCATTTAGTTTATTTTATTTATTCATTAATTTAAGTTAATTTAATTTGACATTAACCCCGTAGCACTCACTTGAAAACCCCTGCATTAAAGCAACTGTATTAAACATCACCACCTGACACATTATCCAACAAGTTGTCAAAATCTCTTTCTCAGGTTGTATATTTATATGCCAGCTGTTTTAAAACACCTGTAGTTACTTAAACATATTCACTAGTGAAAAACAAAAAGTGTGGAAGAGCCACTTTAGTTTGCCTGCAGGCCTAAATGGTTTAAAGACAGAAATGTCAATTTTCCAGATGTCTGAGGAACTTTCCACGGATGTTCTTTCTTTCAGATATGGCAGATGACACTCTGTTTGAATTCCTCCACATGGAGATTGTTGCTCTCGTGTACAAGGAGCAGGCGACCCGGGAGGACATTGATAAGGTACTATCTACAAGCGTCCAGATGGCATACATCGATTTATTTTTTTTGCTTTAATTATGTTTTTGTTACAGCGTTTTGTCATTTTCCATTTGCATCATGTTCTGATTTGCTTTCTTAAGGAGAGAGTGACATGTGTCTCTGCTCTAGAGGCGATGGGCTTCAGAGTTGGACAAGGACTGATTGAAAGGTATACACAGTTATACAGGTGCATCTCAATAAATTAGAATGTCGTGGAAAAGTTAATTTATTTCAGTAATTCAACTCAAATTGTGAAACTCGTGTATTAAATAAATGAAATGCACGCAGACTGAAGTAGTTTAAGTCTTTGGTTCTTTTAATTGTGATGATTTTGGCTCACATTTAACAAAAACCCACCAATTCAGAAACAGAATATGGTGACATGCCAATCAGCTAATCAACTCAAAACACCTGCAAAGGTTTCCTGAGCCTTCAAAATGGTCTCTCAGTTTGGTTCAGTAGGCTACACAATCATGGGGAAGACTGCTGATCTGACAGTTGTCCAGAAGACAATCATTGACACCCTTCACAAGGAGGGTAAGCCACAAACATTCATTGCCAAAGAAGCTGGCTGTTCACAGAGTGCTGTATCCAAGCATGTTAACAGAAACTTGAGTGGAAGGAAAAAGTGTGGAAGAAAAAGATGCACAACCAACCGAGAGAACCGCAGCCTTATGAGGATTGTCAAGCAAAATCGATTCAAGAATTTGAGTGAACTTCACAAGGAATGGACTGAGGCTGGGGTCAAGGCATCAAGAGCCACCACACACAGACGTGTCAAGGAATTTGGCTACAGTTGTCATATTCCTCTTGTTAAGCCACTCCTGAACCACAAACAACGTCAGAGGCGTCTTACCTGGGCTAAGGAGAAAAAGAACTGGACTGTTGCCCAGTGGTCCAAAGTCCTCCTTTCAGATGAGAGCAAGTTTTGTATTTCATTTGGAAACCAAGGTCCTAGAGTCTGGAGGAAGGGTGGAGAAGCTCATAGCCCAAGTTGCTTGAAGTCCAGTGTTAAGTTTCCACAGTCTGTGATGATTTGGGGTGCAATGTCATCTGCTGGTGTTGGTCCATTGTGTTTTTTGAAAACCAACGTCACTGCACCCGTTTACCAAGAAATTTTGGAGCACTTCATGCTTCCTTCTGCTGACCAGCTTTTTGAAGATGCTGATTTCATTTTCCAGCAGGATTTGGCACCTGCCCACACTGCCAAAAGCACCAAAAGTTGGTTAAATGACCATGGTGTTGGTGTGCTTGACTGGCCAGCAAACTCACCAGACCTGAACCCCATAGAGAATCTATGAGGTATTGTCAAGAGGAAAATGAGAAACAAGAGACCAAAAAATGCAGATGAGCTGAAGGCCACTGTTAAAGAAACCTGGGCTTCCATACCACCTCAGCAGTGCCACAAACTGATCACCTCCATGCCACGCCGAATTGAGGCAGTAATTAAAGCAAAAGGAGCCCCTACCAAGTATTGAGTACATGTACAGTAAATTAACATACTTTCCAGAAGGCCAACAATTCACAAAAAAATTTTTTTTTATTGGTCTTATGAAGTATTCTAATTTGTTGAGATAGTGAATTGGTGGGTTTTCGTTAAATGCCAAAATCATCACAATTAAAAGAACCAAAGACTTAAACTACTTCAGTCTGTGTGCAATTAATTTATTTAATACACGAGTTTCACAATTTGAGTTGAATTACTGAAATAAATGAACTTTTCCACGACATTCTAATTTATTGAGATGCACCTGTACATGTTTATTTTTTTCATACTACAAAGTGTCCATAGTTTATAAATCTAGCGATTGCCTAATTTTGCATATGTTTCTGAAAAGATTTACAAAAGACTGCCCCACTTTCAAAGATGACTTGGACTTAATGAAGTTCCTGTGTAAAGATTTTTGGAGCACGATCTTCAAAAAACAAATCGACAACTTGAGGACCAACCATCAGGTTTGAAAGTTCAATTATGTATTTAATATGTGACAACACTGTTGAATTAATCGTTACTGTTATTTCTTCTCTCTGGCATTGCTCTAGGGCACATACGTCTTACAGGATAATACATTTGCACTCCTAACTCAGTTTTCCAGTGGAAAGCAATACCTTGAAGAAGCACCTAAAGTAAGAATGTCCATTGTCTTAAGTCCATTCATGTTAAATCATACTCTGAGATTTTATTTTGTCTACATTATTTTATACCATGATAAATGAAACATTAATATATCTAAATATGTTGGATCTATGCAGTACTTGGCCTTTTCCTGTGGGTTGATTCGAGGAGCTCTATCTAACCTGGGTTTGGAGAGCGTCGTCACTGCAGAGGTTTCTTTAATGCCATCATGTAAGTTTATGCCAAACTTAAAATCAGTATTTAACTATTCTTAACTAAATATATGAATGAATGAATGAATGAATCCATTGTTTAAATAATAAGTTAATAAATAAATTAAATGAATGAATGATAGATATGTATGCAACTAGGGATGTAACGATTCACCCAACTCACGATTCGATTTGATTGACGATTTTGATTTCACGATTCGATTTGATTCACGTTTTTTTTTTTAACAAAATGAGATTTAAGACAAATTATAAATTAAATGTGTCCTTTTATAATTGCTTGGACAAAATGCTGCACGTTTCTTTGTGAAATTGAAATATAACACTATAATAATATACTAATATAGCACTTGCATATCATTGCTCTTTTGTTGGTTTTGATTGCTTCTATTGTCCTCATTTGTAAGTCGCTTTGGATAAAAGCGTCTGCTAAATGACAAAATTTAAATATGGGCTAATGTAAATAACAAAACTAAATTGAAATTTTTAAAACAAGCCCCAAATCAAATAAATAAGTAACACAAATAAAATAAATCTCTTCATATAAACAAAATAAGGCTTTGTCTGTGCTCTTTCCTTTTAAAATGAGAGGCAACCACTGCATTTTAATCATGATCCAAACAAAGATGCTGCATACATGCAACATGAGCAGTTTTTAATCTAAATTAGGTTGTATAATTTCGAAATTTGAAGCAAAAACAGAATGATTTGACTTCAGTTTTATGAAACTATGCATACAAAATATCTGCATGAAACAGAAACAGCAGACGAGCTGAATGAGATGCAGATTCACTCTCTGCCAGAAGGTGGCGCTTAAAGCATTTCCTTGGTTTCCGCTGTATCAGGATCGCGATTTGTTTAGCATCTCAACCGATTTGAATCGTCACATATTTGAATCGATTTTCAACCGGCTCGTGGTTAATCGTTACATCCGTATATGCAACCAAATTAATCATTATATAAAATACTTTTTTTTTTTTTTTGCTACGTGATGTTAAAATATTTGAGGCTTTAATAGCAAGCATGTACACAGTTAAAGTGTGATTTGACGCTGTTATTAAGATTGTAACTATCTTCATTAGCTTTTGTTTTTCTGTTTATAGGCAAATTCCAAGTTGTAATTCAGAAACTCTAGGATGGACTAAATGAACTCTGATCAGCAATGTTTCTTCAATTAAAACTTTGTGAATATGAATTACATGGACCTAGATTCTAAATGTTTACAGCGTTCTATTTGATATAATGCTGTTTGCAGTTTCAAGCATTTCTGC